CGTGAAGCCCTGTCTCAAAAGTAAAGAGCCAGATGTTTCCTAGGTTGGTGTCCCACACAGAGATAGTAGTTAATAAATAGTAACAATTATGGGAAGAGCGAAGGGTGATGTGAGTCCTGAATTTCAACCTCGGTTGAAAGGATTGTTAGCTTCTCTGTAGAGGTAGAAAAACCTAGGCACACAGAGAGGCCCAAGTCACACAATTTGGCTACAAGGACCTTCATCCATGTGGGAAGCCATTAGGCTTTAGCCCTTCGTGAGACCCAGGCCTGTCCAGTTTGTTCTGAAGAGTGGTGTGTAAGGGGTGTGTAGGTGAACCTGGTCCCAGCCATCTTTCTGCAAGCTCCTCCAAGGAGTTGCCAGCTCTGTTAACCTTCTCATCCGCAGGTCTGAGTTATGACCACTAGATGTCACTGCACAACAAAAAACAAGGTTTGCAACAACCTGGGGCTGCTAACCCTAAGCAGCTGCTTTTGTAAGTCCAGCAGCCCAAGGTGCCCAAAGGGGCTATCTAGAACTTTCCTCCCACCTCTCTTCCCTGTACAGGATCCAGCCACATAGAGACACACATATGTCTCAGAATCTAGGCTGAAGTCCAGTTCACATTTGCCATTACCTTCCTGGTGGAGAGTCCTCTTTCCCTCTGCCTGTGCCGATTGCCAGACATGGTTGCCAGGTATTTCACCTCATCTGAGCCCCTGACCTTGTGAGTCAGATGTGTCCTCTCGGATTGCAGATGCAGAAACAGGCTCGGAGAAGTTACAGAGGAGACAGTTTTGAGCTCAAACTCAGAGTAGAGCTTTCTTTTACTCTATCACATGACTGTGTCTGAGACACTGTGGAATTCCTGTCTTTAACTGAATGCCTCAACTTTTTGCCTAAAGAACTAGGGCATGGCTCAGTAGGTAAAGCACTTGCCTCACAAGCGTGAGGGCCTGAGTTTGGATCCCTGGAAACCATGTATTGTGGAATATAACAATTGTTTGACTATGTAAAGATGTGTTGCTGTTTTACCTTGCCTGCCTAAGGCGCCTGATTGGTCTAATAAAAAGATGAACAGCCAATAGCTAGCAGAAGAGGGATAAGTGGGGCTAGTGAGCAGAGAGAAAAGGGGAGCTGGCCAGCCAGCTGGGGGTCAGCCAGCCAGACATGGAGGAAGCAGGAAAGTGGGCTGGACAGTACGAAAATGAGGTTAACAAGTCTCAAGACAGCACTTAAATTAATAGAAACAGTTAATTTTAGTTTTTTTTTTTAAATAGCTAGCTAGAAATAAGCCTAAGCTAAGGCTGAGCATTCCTAACTACTAATAAGTCCCTGTGCCATGATCTGAGGCTGGCAGTCCATAGAACACTGTGTGTAGAGGAATGAACTTGTAATTCCAGCCATGGCAGGATGGGAGACGGAGACAGGCAGATTCCTGGAACCTCGGAGAGTAGATAGCATAACTTATATGGCCAAGTTCCAGACAAATAAATAATTAGGTCTCAAACAAAATGTGGAAGGAGCCGACCATGGTACGTGCTCATTGTCAGCTTGACAGGACCCAAAATTTCCTGGAGATGGGCCACAGGTGTGCTTATGGGAGGGCTTGTTTTTTGTTTTTGTTGTTGTTGTTTGTTTTTGTTTTTTGATACAAGATCTCTCTGCAGGCCTGGCTGTCCTGGAACTCCATACGTAAACTAGACTGACTTCAAATCCACAGAGGTCTCCCTGCCTCTGCCCCTGTGGGGAGATTTAAATTATTGACAGCTCCATTCCCTGGCTAGGGAGGGGAGCCTGGAGAAAGCTAGCTGAGCAGAATGCATTCTTTGCGCTGTTTTCTTAGGGGGCATAGGAGTTCCTGGATCTGGAGTTCCAGATAACTGTGAGTCACCTGAAGCGCGCTGTCTGCAAGAGCAGAAGTGCCCCACCCCCGCGCCACCTCTCCAGACCCTGCTCTCTGCTTTCTGGTTGTGTACGCGATGAGAGCAGCTACTTCAAGCCTCTGTTACTTCGGCTTCTCTGCTTTGCTGGGCTGTACGCTTGAGCTGTGAGCCGAATAAACCCTTTCTCCCTTAAGTTGCCTTTTTCAGAGTGTTTTGTCCAAGCAACAGGAAAAGAAACCAAGACAGTGCCTAGAGTTGAAGGCAAAAGATTGATATGAGCTGAAGAGAAACCACTGAGAGCAACAGTCAATAAATGAGACCTCCTGAAACTGAGAAGCTTCTGCAAAGCAAAGGACACGGTCAACAAGACAAAATGGCAGCCTACAGAATGGGAAAAGATCTTCACCAAACCCACATCAGACAGAGAGCTGATCTCCAAAACAGACAAAGAACTCAAGACACTGGACAACAAAAGAACAAGTAATCCAATTAAAAATGGGGTACAGACCTAAACAGAGAAGTTTCAACAGATGAATCTAAAATGGCTGAAAGACACGGAAATGCTCAATGTCCTTAGTCAACAGAGAAATGCAAATCAAAACAACTCTGAGATTGCATTTTACACCTGTAAGAATGGTCAAGATAAAAAACACAGATGACAACTTATGCTGGAGAGGATGTAGGATAAGCTCCTCCATTGCTGGTGGGAGTGCAAACTGGTACAACCGCTTTAGAAATCAGTATGGCAATTTCTCAGAAAATTAGGAAACAATATATCTCAAGACCCAACAATGCCGCTGTTGGGTATATATCCAAAGGATGCTCAATTATATCACAAGAACATGTGCTCACCTATGTTCATTGAAGCATTGTTTGTCATAGCCAGAACCTGGAAACAACCTAGATGCCCCTGGATGCCCAGTCAACTGAAGACTAGATAAAGAAGATGTGGTCCATTTACATAATGAAGTACTTCTCAGCAGTAAAAAATAATGACATCTTGAAATTTGCATATAAATGAATGGATCTAGAAAAAAAAACATATTGAATGAGGTAACCCAGACCCAGAAAGACAAATGTAATATGTACTCACTCATAAGTGGCTTCTAGACATAAAGAAAAAAACCAACCTACAGTCCACAACTCCAGACAACCTAGACAACAAAGAGGACCCTAAGAGAGACGTACGGGGATCTACATAGGAAGGAAAAAAAGACAAGATCTCCTGAGTAAACTGGGAGCATGGGTGTCTCGGGAGATGGTAGAAGGGAGTGGGAGGAAGAGAGGGGATCAGAGGAAAATGTTTAGCTCAATAAAAACAATCAAAAGAAGAAAAAAATTATCCACAAGGAAGGATGACAATAATCCCCTAAAGATACTTAATTCCTAATTCTGAACACCCAACTGTTATCTTCAGGGGCAATAAAAGACTGCAGAAAAAAAGAACATACACTGGGGCTCCCCTCTGATATGCACATACATGCCATGCTGTACATACATACATACATACATACATACATACATACATACATACATTTACACACACACACACACACACACACACACACACACACACACGGCGCCTCTCTCCAGGGCTTTCCCTACCTCAGTAGATGGCCTTTAGCATGCACTGGTGCTTGGCTGCATGCTTCATTTGTGCTGCAACCTACAGGCAGTTGTCATTATTGTCCCCATTTCCCAGAAAGTCTATTAGGGCACACATACCCTGCACTAAGTTTCAAATGCATTTAATGGCAGACCAGAGCCCGTGTCACCCCGCTTCAGAATCTGAGCTCAGGCTGTGACCTCTTCTCCAGGGGCGCCTGGAGTAGCACTGCTCTTGCTCTCTCTGCCTTTGCCCTGAGTGTGCCCCACCAAGGGCCATCTAAATCTTCTCATGTTTCGTGCGTGGAGTGCCCATGGGCATCTCTGTTGGCAAGCTGGGAACTGCTTGGTGGGGGCAAGGCTGACTGCATTCACTCCTCCGCCCTTGGAACCCCGATCTCTGGGCTGAGTCATGACCTTGGAGGGTGAGAATCCATTGTGCCTTAGTTTGTCACGAAGCCCTTCTAGACCATGGCCACTTCTTGATCCGGGGTTTCTCTGTTGGGGTATAACGTACTCACAATCCCTGGTGCTGGTGGGCCAATGTAACGTGTTAATCCTAGGCAGGGCAGTCCCTTTCTTTCTGTGTTCCTTTTCTTCATAGGTCACTTGTCGCAGAGGAGAAGCTCACACACTAGTGACAGCTGAAGGCAGGGAATCGACAGGCTAGCTGTTAACCCTTGCTGTGTTAAACATGAAATTATTTAAAGTTTCTATTTGGGACATGGCATTGGTTGTCGGAAAGTAGCAGTGATGGCAGAGTTTGCACCCCAGTAGTTGGCAGACACTGCTCAGAGCCCCTCCCCTACCCCTGGAGACCCAACTGTCACAATGTTTACAAGGCCAGAAACCAGCCTGAGGCATGCAGGCTGTTGCAAGGGTCCCTGTGGAGTTGGCTGGGAGCGGCATTCAGACCACAGCTTGCAGATAAGTACCAACGTTGCCCCCTTCCTTTCATCAAACGCTGGCCCCACACTTTCTGCCGGAAGTCACATACTTGATTCAGATGGAGAAGAGAGGACATGAAAAGGCAAGGCGCCTTATCAAAGCCAACAGGCCTGGCTGGAGCTGTGACTTTAACCACTGCTGTAGTTATTGGCCATACACCAAGAGCCCCGAGCTCATCGGGGAGTCTGGAAATTGTAAGAGGTAATGTGTGTAAAGAGCTTAACACAGATTTGGTTGGAGCAGAACATAGTAAACATTAATTTACCAAGAGGCATAGGAGTGTGATCTGGGTCCACCCACGTGGAATCTTAACTGGGTTAATTTTTTTTTTTTTTTATTTTGAGACCTCTGGCTGGCCGAGCTGCTCTGCTTGTCTAAACCTCTTGTTCCCCAGCAAAGAGAAGATAATAATAGCTACCTGGAAGAGCCGGGAGGAGGATGGAGATAAAGGATGTAAAGTGTCTGGTGAGAAGTGGGTACTCTATAAATGGGAGCAATTGTCCAGAGTTAGCTTTTATTTTCTGTCAGTTAAGACATGGTCTTGTGCAGGCAGCTGGGGCCAGAGCCATGAGGAAGAAAGAAGTCTGTGCCATGCCTGGCGCTCCTCTCCTGGACAGGTCAGCCCCTCACTGGGCCATGGTTTGAGAAGGGCTTCAGAGACTTGGGACGCTGTTGCTAGGTGCTGGTTGCTAAGCAACACTCTGTTTCTTCTAGCTTGGCCATCTCCACCTCAGGAGGGCCGGCTTCTCTTGAGCAGCTCCTGCCTCCTGTGGCCTCTGCCGACCTCAGAGCCAACTGCAGAGGGCAGGTGAGGGTGGGGCCTACTGTCTAGGGTCCCAGGAGAGCACAGGGAACTTCCAGAGGGAGGGGATTGGAGAAGGAATTGAGTAAGAGATGGGGGTGCCTCACAGGAGAGAAATTACCAGGTAGGCAGTCATCTGGTCATGGACTCCCTAAAACACACATTGTGTGTGTGGGGGTGTCAGACCAGAGCACTGGGATTCAGATACCCCAGGTCTGAACCCCGGGCTCCTGCCTCTTCTTAAGAGCTTTGGCACCCAAGTTTCTTGGCTCTAAAATGGGGGTTTTTGAAAGCTGGTATGCGATAAGCCAGTGTGAGCGGAAGATGGGTTGACTCTTCCTTTGGCTTGGGGTCAGCATCCTTCTGGGGTTGGAGCCTGGGATCAGGACTCCTGAGGGCCTCATGGTTTCTTCTCAGGCCCGCGGGGCTCTGCCCCACAGCACCATGATGGGAAAACTCCCTCTCGGGGTTGTCTCTCCTTATGTGAAAATGAGTTCGGGGGGCTGCTCTGACCCTCTGAAGTTTTATGCTACCAGCTACTGCACAGCCTATGGTGAGGACCCCCTCTGTGGGAGCTACCTTCTGGACCCCGGGTGGGAAGAGAGGCCAGGAGCAGCACAGTTTCTAGGCCAATCCTACCAGTGACCTGCCACACTGAGCTGGCCTGTTATTCCCTGAACCCCAAAACTCGTGCTGTCAAGCTGGCCTTGTCTAGCCGCCCCCTCCCTCATCCTGTCACCGCAGTGAGTCTGCCACATGGTTCTTGTATCCCCACGCCATTGAATTTGTTTCCTGTCCTCATTGTCCTCTGAAGTGTCAGGCCTACTCAGCTCCCATCACCTGGGATGTTGGGTATTCCCCCAGCTTGGTGGGTCCTAGGGGACGCTGATCCGGCCTGGAAGCCACTCCTCCCCTTCTGATGACCTTTGGTCCTGTCTTGGTCTTGCCCCCTGGCAGGTCGGGAGGAGTTCAAGCCCCGAATGGGGAGCCATGTAGGTACAGGCTACAAATCCAACTATCGGCCTCTGGTCTCCTACCAACCCCATCTGGATACCCTGGACAATCCAGCCATAGGGTACAGTTTCCATTACCCCTTTCCTCCCACCTCCGTCCTGCTGAATCTTAGCTGTCAGAGATGTCATTTGCCCCAGGCTCCAAGGCAAGGCCTCAGTGGCTCTGGGCTCGCTGCCCAGTTGAAATGCTTGGGAGAGAGATGGGAGAGATGGAAGCTTCTGGGAATGAGTCATGCAGTCCTCAGCCCCAGAACAAAGGCAGATGGCACCAGAGGTCCTAGCTCTTGCTTCCTCCTACCCCTTAGGGAACAGATTCGTGACACTTCCAAGTCTGTGACCAGTCAGAGCTACTGTCCCCTAGAAGTGCCTGATGGCAAACACCCCATGCCCTGGAACCTGTACCAGACCACCTCTGGCTATGGGCGAGAGAAGCTCAATACTGGACCACTTTCCAAGGAGGTCAGTGCAGGGCCTGTGCGGGGAAGGAGTGAACCCCAGGATGTGTGCAGGAAGGTGGGGAGGGGGGTTCTTTCTAGCAAGCAGGAGCAGCACCTCCAACCATTGCACAAACCCGAGATGACGAAGTCTAGGGTGAGGGACCACCCCCAGTGTGATCTTATCTTCACATGCTATCCCCACTGCCCCTCCACACCCTCACCTCTACTCTAGCCTCACAGAGACCAGTATCCTATCCATATGTTCAAACTCATTGCCACCGCTCTCACTGCCTCTCCCTCACTGTCAGCACCCCCATCTGCTTTGCTTCTGTCGTCGTTATTAGCATCATTCAAGTCACCACCGTGGTCATGAGGACAGGTATTCATTCGTCCAACCAATCTGTTCTGAACACATTTTAAGTTTGGAGGGAGTGTGCTTAGGCTGTAGGTTCGTGGGTTTGGTGCTTGCCTAACACTCATGAGGCTCTGGGTTCCATCCCCTGGCACTTCAAAAATCAGGCCTAGTGCCGTTTACCTGGAATCCCAGCACTGGGGAGATGGAGGCATATCCTTAGCTACATATCAAATTTGAGGCCAGCCTGGACCACACGAGACCGAATCTCAATGCTAATAATGATGATGGAGATAAGACTCAGAGATTGAGTGTGCACTGCTCTTCTAGAGGATGCTGAGTTCAGTCCCCAGCACCCACATCAGGAGACTCATAACTGTCCGGAACTCCAGTCCTGGGGTATCTGATGCCCTCATCTGGCCTCTGTGGTCTACATGCAATATACACAAGCACAGGCACAGAAAATACTAACAAATCTTGTAAGCCGACACACGAGAAGAGGGCGCCAGATCTCATTACAGATGGTTGTGAGCCACCGTGTGGTTGCTGGGAATTGAACTCAGGACCTCTCCAGCCCCACTAATAAATCTTTTAAGATTAAAATAAAATTTAAAAAACCAGAAGGGGTAAGAGCAGAGGAAAATGCATCATGGGAGGAGAGATGAAGTACACACCCAAGATGGGAAAGAGGTTCCCATGGAGACACTGGGCAGGATTCAAGAGATGCAAGCATTCCTCTAGCCAAAGCTATCAAAGGGATATGTGCTCCAAGCAGTATATCAATGCAAAGGCCACAAGGCAGGAGTCTCTGGTTGAGGGGTCCAGCAAGGAGTTGTGTGCCTATAGCAGCTTGAGGACCCAGAGTCCCCATGAGAGTCACTCAGAGCAAGCTGTTGCAAACTCTGATCCAGGAGAGCCCACTGCCTTCATGGTAATCGAACCACACAGACTGCCATGAAGGTGCTCTGTAGAAATGGAGGTTAGAAAGTGATTGACATTTCTACACCCGCAGGATAACCACTTGTGTTCCCTCCTCCAGGTTAAGAAGGTCCATTTCGATACCCAGGATCATGGACCTCAGACCATCACAGGACTGGAGCCCAAGGAGGTTCCCCTGCTCCACCAGCAGCAGGGCAAGGGCTCTGTGGAGTGGGAGAACTCGCACTATGTGAGTGGGCCGGAATGGGAAGGAGTGGGGGGCCACACCAGCCTCCTCCCCCTGCAGAGGCTGGCCCTGTGATTACTCTTTCAGGGAGCTACGGCACGTGGGCTCCGGTCCTGAGGAACATTGCAAAGAGCAAGGCATTTTCAATTTGGTAGTTACCGAACTGTATCAAAGTGGCCACCATACCCTGCCCTGTCCCATGTGCCCCAGCTTATATGTATTTTCTTCCATCAGCTTTTCCCACTTCACCATGACCCCCTTGCTTCTGTCTGAGTTCCTCGGGGTCATTTCCAGGAACTCAGCATGGTGTGTGACTTGGAGTTTTCATGGAGGCATTCAGGACACTGCCATGCCTCCTCCTCAGGCATATCAGACGGGTATCATATCAGAGTGTTGTGCTAGTCTCCTCCTCCCAGGCCCACTGGGAGGTCACACACCCAAAGAGCTACCACTACCGCCATGGAATGTCTGCCCTCCATCCTGGCCACTGTGTGTGTCCCTATTGCCCCACCTTGTATGTTCCAGGGTCCACGCTTCATGGCTTCCGAGTACAATTCCAAGTATATCAAGGAAGCTCCAAACCATTCAGGTAGGCCTTCTCAGCTTGGCCTTCCTTCTCCAACCCCTAGGGAAGACTCCAGGGGGATTAGAGCTAGTACAGTTCTCAAAAGCCACCAGGGGAGAAAGAAGGACAGACATATTGGTGGCTTGAGGGAACCATGTCCTGATTTCAGAGCTCTGGCCTGCTGCTGTAGCAGAGTCTGTAGGGCCTGCCCACAGCTACTCCTGGCCTGTCAGTGCCCATTTCCTTCTCTTTTCCTGGCCTGGACCCTGGAACCTATCCCTTTCCTGCTGGGACACTGAGGCGGCCCCACAAAGCTCAGACAACTCTGCCTATTGCAGATCTCTTGCTCAAGAAGACGATTGGTTCCAAAGAAGAGACTGGCTTCACTGAAGAGTCAACCAAGAATCCCTTCCAGCCGCCCTCACAGGCATATCCTGGGGACCCCGTAAGTGTAGTCTCAGAAGCATTGAAATTCCCAATTCTGGGGGAGGGGCTGTGGTTACGTTTTAAACTCCTGACACAAAGGCCTCCAGTCACGTATGGAGTGGAAGACATGGACCGTGGTTCAGAATCCCACTTTATAGATGAGAATACTGAGGTCCAAATAGGTCCAAGAGGTGAGGCCAAGGTCACTTCCCTTCTGGCTCCCATTCAGGACCTTGGGGTTGGTCATTCCACTGAAACTCTACCTGTTCCTCAGTTGTCTGTACAGAACCCTTCTGCATTCTTGACACAGTGGGGGCTGGAGTCAGAGTGTGGGAGCCAGGAAGGACAAGGAAGGTTAAGCTGATCTCCCAGTGTGCACCCCTCCCCAGGTCCCCCACCCAGGACGGAGCATCACCAAGTCGGACTTCCTCCCTATAAGTCACCCTCAGGTAAGCTCTGTGCTCTTGGGGGTCCAGGGCTGCCTGTGAGGAGGACAATTACATCCGGCTTAGAATTGCGAAGGGATGGTACCCACAGATGCTCTGCTCCCTTCAGGGAAGTGAGTTTCTCCCTGTGCTGTCCAGAGGCTCTGATCGGGACACAGGATACAGCCGAGTGAATGAAAGGATCTTGAACCCCAGAGTGAGTGACAGGGGCCCAGCAGGGAAGAATGGGGACAGGCAGAATATCTGGAGAGGTGGGTGAAGGGTGTCTCGAATGGAGTGTAAAGTGGGGGCCTGGGCGGAGTGGCGTGTTTTGAAACACAGAATGATTTGGCAGGGGTGGAAGCACCCTGCCCGTCCTTCCTCCACCGTATGAACTCAGCCAGCCACCCAGCCTCCCATCTTGTCTGTGGCTCTGCTCCCTACAGATGCCTGCTCCAAGCCCACAGCCTGCCAGCATGAGCCACAGGTCCTACCAGCCGCCCCAGCGGATGCAACAGACAAACGTTGCCCTGCTCGGCAGGGAGTCTGTGGGGAACAAGGTAACAGTGCCACACCCATCCCTGCCCCTAACTATGCTCCTGAGTCCTGACCATCCCCCTGTCTCCATCTCTTGCAGGAGCCCACAGGGTTCACTATTAACAACCCCAGCTACGTCCGGAGCTCCTATGAATCGGACAGAGACCAACGGTACCTGACTACCTACAACCAAGGGTAAGGCTCCCTTCCAGGCTAAGAGCTGAGATCTGTTTGACAGACTGCAGATGAGGCAGAGCAAGTCACGAGGTCACAACCTCTGGACGGAGAACCAAGACCCACACTAAAGTCTTCCCCACACAGACCGTCAGCTGAACATCGCGTGCCAGCCCTTCACAGGGAGAGTGGTCTTTAGGGGGCATGTGGAAATTGAAAGCAAAGGGAAGCAGGCAGCGATGGGCTGTTATGAGGCCAGCTGTCCTGTGGCAGAAACTCTGGACAGCAGCGTAAGGCACACAGCTCTCTGCTGTCCCCACCTGAGGAGAGCCAGGACAGTCACACCCCAGGCCCATTAGTCACTAGTTAGAAAGCTGTCCCCAGGGTGACATTAAGCTTCATGGGGGCTCCTTGCTCAGGAGATACAGGTTCTAGCAACTTAAGGGGAGCTCTCACACAGACAGGCAGAACAAGATACTAGGACCAGACTGCTGGGCTCGGGAAGAGTAGGCGAATGCAGGAGTCTCAGCAGCCAAAACATCAGTCTCTAAGGCATTGCCTCCATCCGATGCCGGTCAGCTCAGTGCTTCCTCAGCAGGTGAGCTAGGAGCTGGGACTCAGGCCTGCAGGAGGCTTCCAGGGGAAGGCAATCCAAAAGCCATGGGTGCAGGGGCCTTCAGAGGCCAGGGTCAGGTGGCGAGGGCATCTAGGAGCAACAAAAAGGAAGTAGTATATTTTAAAAAGATTTATTTATTTAATATTATACAGTGTTCTACCCGCATGCATGCCTGCACACCAGAAGAGGGCACCAGACCTCATTGTCAATGGTTGTGAGCCACCACGTAGTTGCTGGGAGTTGAACTCAGGACCTCTGAAAGAACAGGCAGTGCTCTTAACCTTGGAACCATCTTTCCAGTCCTCCTTTGTTTTTTTGAGACAGTCTTGCTATGTGGCCTTGATTGGCCTGGAACTTTCACTGTAGACAAGGCTGGCCTAGAGCTTGTGGCAAGAACTCCTGTTTTTGCCTCCCAAGTGCTGGAATTACATCTTTATTAGCTCACTCCAAAAGGAAGTGCTTTTGGGGGATAGAATCCTAGAGCTGGGAAAGCCGGGTTTCCTCCCCGCACTCCTCTCACACACAACGGCCCTCCGACACCTGAGTATTCCAGGTTCCTCTGGCTTGTCAGGTTTCCCTTGTCCTGCTCCTGTTCTGGGGTACTTCCTGTTTTCAGAGTCCTGACTGAGGGCAGATGCTGGCCTAGGCCCTGGTTGGCATGATCACATCGGTGATGTGGTTAGTGGAGAGGAGGAACAGGAAGCCGGGACAGGGGGTTGCTTTAAGAAGATGGCATTGGAGTCTAGATTGCGAAGTTCTCTGACTGAGGACCAGCCAGCAATAGAGGTCTGAGCTGGAAGAGCCTTTGGTGCTTTCTGAGCTAAATTACCCTTGGGCTTCAGCTTGGGAGCTCAGTAACTTCTCTCCTTCCCATAAGGGTGATGGGGGAAAGGGGAGCACTTTGGGTGTTGGGAGACAAAGATCTGTCCCTCTTTAGATGACCACTCAGTTTTTGAGGCCCCAGTAGGCCCCCCCCCTCAGGCTATAGCCTTTCTGCAAGTCCCTACATCTGCCCCCGTTACCTGTCAGGAATTCTTGCCAGGTGTCAGGCACTCTGTTTCTTGCTGGGTTTCCCAAAGCTCCGAGGGGTTGAAATCTCTGATTTCCAAATGGACCTATCAGCAGCATCCTGGCATTCGTCTTCAGAAGCCAAGGGTGGGGGCCAAGTCTTCCTCATTTTGTGTCTCACAACCTGGCCTAGGGTTCAGTTCTCTTGGCTGAAGGAGGGGAGTCAGAGGCTTAGGGGAGACTGGTGGGCAGGTTCCTCCCTGGCTTCTGGCAGGGCCACAGATGGGAAGGCCACAGATCCCGTCCTTTGCTCTCCACACCTGTCTCAACTCTGGAATGAAGCAGAGGAGCTCGGCTCCAGGAATGGGGACAGGCTTTCTGAGTGAGAATGTCCTTGGTGGACAAAGGCTCAGGCACGACAGGCAGAGGAGAGACATGGACAGAGGCGAGGGGACTGGAGAGGTCCAAGGCCCAAGATCTGTTGGCAGTGAAGGGTGGGACAGGCCTCAGAAAGAAGTGAGCGGTGATCAAGGACCTACGCACTACCTTAGGTACTTCGAGAACATCCCCAAGGGACTGGACCGAGAAGGCTGGACTCGAGGTGGCATCCAGCCCCAGAAAACAGGAGGCTATGCCCTCAACGAATCTATTACCCGAATGGACACCACTCCGAACCCCACAGAGACCCTGCGGCAGCTGCACCCTCATGTGGGAAGGTAGCATGCCCCACAGCTCTGCCTCTGTACCCTTTTCTCACTTGGCAGCCTCCTCCAGGCTGGCTCAGCCCTATCCCCTACCTGTTGTGCCTGTGAGGCCGTTTCCTCTGGCTGGTCTTGATTCTAGATTCTGATTCCTGGCCTCCTACCTGCCCAGATTCTTTTCCTGGCTCCTTCCTCTGCATGTCTCCCTTCCTCCATGGTGTCGGGGGGCTGTGGAAGATGGATTTAAAGATAAATGAACTGTGAGCCTGCCCCTCCTGTCCCGCTGCTCAGTTCTTCAAAACCTCCACTTGGACAGGAAGGGCTGGTCCAGGTGGCAGGCAGAGATTGTCTGTGGTTTGGTTGCCCTTGTCTGGGCCTTGCGTGCTCTTGGGATCTCAGGGAAGGAGGCAGAGGTCATAAGCCTGGTCACCCATCCTTCTAGCAGCTTCCTTTCTTCCTACAGAACCTTGACTTCGATTGACCTCTTCTATCGAGACACTCCTCATAGCAACCGCTACACGGCTACCAGCTGAGTCTTGAGGGGTAAGGGGACAGGATACCCTCCTGCCCACTCCCCAGGGGAAGGCCTCACTGTCCAGCTTCTTTCCCAAGCCCTGGGTTGAGTTAGACTTTGAGGGATGGGAGTCAGGACGGCCTTTGTTTCTTCTGGAGAGTGTTCACAATCACCCTAGGGCCCCCCTCAGACCTTGTCTTTGTTCCTTCTGCCCAGGTTTGTCGTGATGGGACAAGCTGCTTTCCCTATGCTCCCCAACCACCCCCCCAAGTTACTTTCCTAAGGAAATAAAGAACACTGAATCAGCACAGTATTGCAGTTATTGTGGGACAGGGTGGTGCTGGGCAAAGGTATTGAGCTGGGGTGTGTCTGGGTAGAGGGTTCAGGGCCAGATTTGGAGCCAGGGGACTGGTTGGAGCATCTGAGTCACAGTGGCTCCACAAACAAGATGCATCAGTGTTTCCTGCCCTGTTGAGATAAGCCCCTCAGCTCGTGCTGTCTAGGATAGTGACCAGTCAGGTCAGGGTGGAGGTGGGCTCCAGGGGAGGGGCAGAGGGCAGGTGGAATGAGGGACCAGTTACTGAATTACCTCTCTAAAACAGGAGCACAGATTAAAGCAGGACTTTGGGGGTCCCACTGAGAGCCTCAGAAGGGAGAAATATATAGGGGTAGGCCAGGAAAATGCCAGAGATGGAAAGGGCTCTGTGATGGATGGGCAGCTAGATGCAAGCACAGGTTGAGAGCTGATGGCAAAGGCTGGCTCTCCCTCCAGCCAGGCAGCCAGAAGAAAGCGCCGTCTTTTATGAGGACAAGAACAAGTTGTTTGTTAGAGGGACGCCCCACTGAGCACAGTCCCCAATGAGCAAATGTGTGGGAAGATGGGGCACCTGGTCCTCAGAGCTCCTCGCCTGCAAGGCAGAATCTAGCAGGCTCTCAGCACCCGCTGTCACTCAGCCAGGTGTTTGCTCAGTGCACAACTGTGCAACTGTATGATGTGACTCTATCAGCAACAACTGCTCACCTCGGGAGCCTAGGTCCTAAAGAGGTGTGGAAGTTCTAGGGGTCCCGGAGGGCAGTCACATGGCAGCAGTACAGAACTTGGGGGTATCCTCCCAAAGCCCGGGCTGGCATGAGGAGGGCATGGCCACTCAGGGCCCATCAGCCATTCACTACCCCTGTATGCTCTTGTGTTTCTCAGCGGGTATTTATGTTGCAGTTTTGCTGGCTCTGGAGCCCAGCTGTACCCAGTGCAGTCCTGTGTAGCAGGTCTGGGGGCTGTCCATAGCCTGGCAGGGGTTCCATGTGGGCTGTGGGAGGCTCCAGCTGGTCCCAGGGTTGGAGGAGGGGAGTTAGGGACACATAGTCTCTGGGCTCTAAACACAGCCAGAATCAGGGACCAGTAACAGGCTCACAGGCTGTGCGTGGGGACTTGCTGGTCCATGGCCTACAACATTAGGGGTGAGTCACCAACCCAAGATAGTCCTGGGTCTCAACAATGTCTTGTCATAACTTCATAGTGAGGTGAGGGCATCTACCATTCATCTAGCCCCTCCCTGCTCAGACACACACACACACAGTCAGCACAAAAGCACACACAAGCAGTTAAAAAGGACACAGAACCCTGAAGACATCCATATACACAGGCACATCTCTGCCAACAAAATGCAACAGTTACACACTTGGGCACGGTGCACGTATGTGAGGATCACTAGTGAGGTGGAAACAGGAGGATCAGGAATTTAAGACCATCCTCAGATACGTGAGCCAGCTGGACTACATGAGACCTTGCTTCAGGAAAACATTTTTAAAAAGGCAATAACAAATAATGCGGACACGTGGACAACAACCTGGAAACACAAGAGGAACATGTACACATTATATGGATGTTCACATGAGCACCTACGATGCTTATATGTGCAGACACGTGCACATTTAGACACAGTGATGACCAAAGACACGGGTATGCAGACATATGAGAATAGACATGTAAGGGGTGGGGGAGATGGCTTAGTTAGTAAACTGTTGCATAGGCATGAAGACTTGAGTTTGGATCCCCAACACCCATGGACAAAAGCAGCCATGGTGGCATGTGTCTTCGGTCCCAGTGTTGGGAAGGCAGACAAGAGATCCCTGGAGCTTCTGGAGACAGACTGACTGAAACCATGAGCGTTGGGTTTGGTGAGAGACTCTGTCTTAAAAAAACAAGTTGGGGCCAGGTGGTGGTAGCACGCGCCTTTAATCCCAGCACCCAGGAGGCAGACGCATGTGAATATCTGTGAGTTTGAGGTAAGCCTGGTCTACAGAGCAAGTTCCAAGACAGCTAGGGCTATTAAACAGAGAAACCCTGTCTCGAAAAACCTAAAAACAAAACAAAACAAACAAAAAAAACTCCCCTCACATATTAAGGTAGACATTCAAGGTAAAACTCTACCCCTCCCCCAAGCATGAATGTACATGCATGTATGCACACACACACACACATAAAACTCTACCCCTCCCCTAAGCATGAATGTAACTGCATGTATGCACACACACATACATAAAACTCTACCCCTCCCCCAAGCATGAATGTACATGCATGTATGCACACACACACACACACACACACACACACACACACACACACATAAAACTCTACCCCTCCCCAGGCATGAATGTAATTGCATGTATGCACACACACATACATAAAACTCTACCCCTTCCCAGACATGAATGTACATGCATGTATGCACACACACATATATACACACAAAAAATGTGCATATAGCAACTTGTATAGCAAACACATACACACACAGACACACATGTACACCCACACACATTCACTCCCCCAACCCTACTTTCTGACTCTCTTTCCCCATGAGTGTCACTTTACGGCTCATGTTGCCTGCTTGTTCTATTATTCCTCTACCTGGCCCAACAGGGGACCTGGTGTCGGTGTCAGAGACAGTGGAGTCTGATAGCTCTCCTTGTTCTGGGCCTGCATGCCCAGTTTCCAGGACGCATGAGGTGAGGCACCCAGTGATGATTCTTGAGCGGGGGCTGTGGATTCTGCCTCTGAGGAAGGGTGAAGAACACTGTGTGACCCTGAGTTTCTGTTTCTACGTACAGCAGGGACTGCAGCCTGTAGACAGTCCAGGGGTCCTTGTTCAGGAACTCTGTGAAGACGAGGTCTAGGTACTGGGAGCAGGAAGGATGTCTAGAAAGGGTCAAGACTGAACCATGGTGGTGGTTGTAGAGTCCCCCCTGGTAGGCCTGAGTTGTCTCAGGTCACGTAGTCATCAGGGATGTGAGTAAGACACACTGGTAAGGAGTGGAGTTGGAACCCTTCAGTGGCAGCTATAGCCTGGGAGGGTGACTCCACCCCAAGTCAAGCTTGCTCCCTTAGAGACCTTTGCAATGGGTCTATGGAAGCTGAGGTCTAAGAGGGCAGTGAGTGATGGGCAGAGCCTGGGCCATGGCTAGGGCCTTAGAAATGGGCACTCTGGAGAAGGCGGGCTGCTCAGATCTGAGGACCTTGCTCATGGTCCTCCATATTCATCTCCTGGTGGGTTAAGACTCAAGCAGGGGCCACAAACAACATCTGTCTTGTTCACAGCTCACACACCAGAGCCCAGCACAGTGCTGTCTAGAATATTTGGAAGAACGTGGTGAATATAGGTGGATGGATGGATGGATGGATGGATGGGTGGGTGGGTCGGTGGGTGGAATTACACTGTCTGCCTATGGAAGTACCAGATGTGGGTTTCTGGGTGTCACCTGCCCTGACTACCATGGGATGTTCGCTAGCAGGCCTCTACTGTGCCACCTGCCTAGCCACATTGGCTGTGACCCTCAGGATGTCATCCATCCTCTCTGACTGATCCTAGCCTCCCAGCTGATCCTGTTGGGGTAAAGGGACCATATATTCCAACCCAGAGGGTGAGCAGTCCGTCTGTCTAAGCAGGCAGGAAGGCTGTCCCTCAGCAGGGCTGGGTTCCAGCTGTTCCCAAGGTCACACACTGTCAGACCTTTGTGACAGCTGACTACTGTAGATCTTCCATAATGCTTCCTTCCCCACACCATAGATATCTTAGAGAAGGTTCTAGGGGTGCCATGCTCATGATTAACCTTTATTAAGCTCCCACGGCTTGCCAGGTGCTGAGAATATTCTATGGGCCTCCCCGCTCTGAAGTTAGAGCACAGAGCGTCTCCCTGTGGGGGCACATTGAGGACACATGTAGGCAGCGCGGTGACGGCATTGGGGTGGGGGTGCAGTGTAGGGCAAAGAGGGAGTGAAGCTGGGTCAGGCCATACCTCTGACGCACAGGGACATGTGTGAGGCTGTTGCCAGTCATAGCAGCATGGCAGCTGATGTTGACAGGTACCATCTGGCCTGGAGCACGTGATGACACAGAACCAGCAGCTCACGGGCTTGACAGCTGGCCAGCTGGGAAAACAGGGCTCCCAGGAGAGTGGAGTGGGGAGGTGTTGTTCAAAGGCATCTGCCTGTGGGAACTGGAGGCTCTGGGCGGGTTGGGGGCTGAGGATGGTGGGCATGACACATACAGGCAGATGGAGTACATGAAACTTCTCCGATTTCCTCTCTGACCATCTGGAGAGCCACCCATTCCCCAGGAATTGTTCCCCAAACAACCACACAGGCAGAAGGGAGGAATTGGAACCAGGGGCCGCCCACTCGGGGTTTCTCTTGAAGGGTCAGGGCCTCTGAGTACTTCTGGCTTCCTCCACGTGCTGCTCCAAACAGCTCTGCCAAGAAAGGAGTTTGAGGAACACATGTCCTCTCCCAGCTCCAGAGACCTTTGGAATAATGAGGTCAGCCTGAGCCGAAGAGAAGCAGCCACCTGCCCAAAGTCTTGTGACTTCGTGAGCAAATACTGTCTCTGGCCCTTCTGATCAGGTCACTTATTTGGTGGCATGGGAGGGGTAGGAGCCTCGAAGCTTCTCATTTGCAGCCAGTGACAGTAACGGCTTCTTCTATTTTTGTGCTAAGTGGAGAGGATGTGAAGATATGTGTTA